AGGGATTGGGCGATGCGGGAGTATTGGAAAAAGAGGGGGATTTAGTATATTTTCTTTTCGTTTCAGCATCGCATAGCTTGCTTTGCGCTGATGGTGCCCTTATAATCCCAGCCGGGCCAGTCCAATCTCCTGCCCCCCCTTTCGAGACCAGCTCTGATACATCGGCCGGCAATGTTGTCTACAACTAGACTCTGACGCCCCTCATCCCCATCCACAAGCACCCTTTTCCGCTAGATATCCTGCCACTTTCCGACCGTCTTGAGGGGAAACCTGAGTTCTGTTTGTTGGAGAGTTGTCAGTCCAAGTAGCTCACAAGCTGTTTGATGTTCTCGGGGTGCCAACGTACTGCCCTGGGCTATATCCTTGACGTGGTCGGGGTCGACCTGCGCCTCCTTGCCCTCCTTCTCAAGCATCAACTGCACGAAAGCGCCCTTCTTACTGGGCAGCGCGTAATTTACACAACCCCCAAACACCAACTCCTCCCACATCCGGCCCGACTCTCCGCGCGTTGGCTTGTCTTCGAAGCCCTTGGGCAAGAGACTACGAGGGGTCCCAATCCTTCTGTCTCCCGACAGGAAGCGCACAAAACAGTGGACGAGTTCATGGGCCACGGTAAAGGCCCCGTCAACTAGGAAGGCCCGGTAGTCCGTACCGAACCGCTTTATACCATCTTTGTCCCCCTTCTCTTTCGCCTTGAGGTAATTCGCTCTGACTTGGGCCACGGCCGTGAGGGTCTGCATTGGCGGGCCTGGTCAGCCTAAAAGTGGACTTGCTCTTGAAAAGTCTGAGATAGAAGGGGGGTTGGGGGGAATGCGCTTACATCGAGGTGGAGACGCATAACTCCCGAGTCCAAGGGGTGCCAATGGAGCATGATGTTCTCGTTGGTCAGTGGCTTGCGTGCCTCGGAGCAGCGTTGTCTCGCGTCTTCCATCCAATTGACCAGGCCGAACATGGCATGCGTGCCGTCCTCGAGCCTGCGTATATCGATGGGGGGGAAGCATTGGCGGATTTTCTTGAGGTAGATCTCTACCCATCTCCCCATCTCCGCATCGGTCGGTTTCTTGTTCAGGTATCTCGCGTTGCTACTTGGCGTGGCCGGATAGATGAACTCCTTGGGGTTGTTTCGCGCACTCCAATCCTGCACACAAGTGGCCCCGATGTGGATGAGCTTGTTGATCGAACGGTCATGCTCCAGGACATCCAACGCAAGTTTGATGACTCGATACACGGCTCCTCGCATCTCTGGACTCAGTTTATTGGCCGGTTTGCCGTCCATGTCAATGCTCAAAGGCTGCGCCGTCGGCGGCGGCGGCAAATCGCTGGGCGGCTTGGCCGCCGGAGGTTTTCCTGGGGGTTTGGTGTCATTCGAACGAGGTCGGGGCGGGCCTGCAGGAGGGCCTTGGGCATTGACGGCCGGGCGTGGCGCTTCTTGACGGCGAGCCGGCGGATGTCTGTCGTCGGGACTGACATCGACTACATTTGCTGGCCCGGTTCGTACAGCCGGGCGAAGAGGGAGACTGGAGGGCGGATCGCCGGGCTCCCTTGTGACCGTCCTGACTGTGGCGATCTCGGTATTTCTAGAGCCTCTACCACTGGTCTCTCTGTTGGACATATTTGCAGAAAATAAGAAGAGGAACTTCGGTAGAGGTAGTACTGAAGAGTTATGAGAAACAAGTGATGGCCTTCCGTAGTGATGGACGTAGGGGAGGACTGTGCCAGCACAGTTAAATGTGGAAGTTCGGATTGTAGTGTGTGTGGACGAGACTGCGGAGCGCTTCAACGAGTAAAAGCCTCTCCCTGGTTGTCTGTCAGGGGGAATAAGAAATTGCAGGTTAACTGCGAGCGACGGTCCAGAAGATATATCCCGCTCTTCTCGTCCGGTGTTTGTCTCCCAAACCTACAGGTCCCTTGCCCCGTGGCCTTTTTCGGCACCCAAGAAATCCCATAGCTTACTTCATGGGTCGAAGCCATCCATCGGAGGGGTATTAGGACCGGTGTTTTACAGTGTCTCCGGCTCCAGCCACGCGTCAGCCGGACCCTCCAGACGGACACCACGACGCCCACTTGCAAGTGTCGAGTGCCGGCCGCGCCAACCGCCCCTGGGATATTGTCGGATGGTGTGGGCTTTGGGTTCGACTTGACGTTCCAAGGAATAGGTAATAGGCTGAAGTCTTACTCATATTACAAGGCCCACGGCACGGTGGCCACCCGGCTTTACAGATCCTTCCTCTCCACCTGCGAGGCTTTGAACTTTGAATTATACGCCGGAACTCTTCCGTATTCTCTTTTTGAGTTATGCACAGTAAACCGCCTGGAATCCTGTAACCCCTGGCCCCCAACAGTTGGGTGGGTTATGTGGGTTATGTGGCGGAGACAGATCCTACCCGATTCATCCTGATTCCTGAGCCAGTGAGCATCCTTCGACCTCGGCATTTCTAGCGCTTCCTTCTAGCGGCTAGACTTTCCTAGTTTGGCTTCTCGCTTAGTTTTATAGCGAACACAAGATCTTTGGCTGCAAGTGGTGACCTGGTTTGGAACGGGCTTCTTCATGTTGGTTCGCGACTGGCCTTCAGGATCGAACTCTGTCTCAACTGGCCTCCTGGGTTCAGATTCTACCTCAGCTTATGGCTAGACTTGCCTCTGCATGGAGAAATCTTCCCAACACCACCCTACACCTCCACCCTACCTGCGGTATTTCTCACCTAGCGCAAATGTTATCCGTTGATGTTCCAGTTTCTCGTCGCCTAGAAAGTCACCAAGCAATACCACGGGCTTAAAAAGAGACTGCCTCTTATCGTCCGGCCCGCGCCGCCGTTCATCCCCCGCCATGTCGCCCCGATCACCGACATCATCGTCGACATCCACCTTCCATTCCGGACTCATCAGGGCCATCTGAGCCAGATTGGCTCCGACAGCAGTGTCCAGAACCTCGCCGAGACCGCCGAGCTCCCGCTGAGCCCAGGCATCGAGCCAACCTAGCGGGCCGCCCAGCTGCCCGTGCCGGCCGTAGTCGACGGCAGTCTGCGGCCTCTTGAGCCAAACGGCAAGGCGCAGGACCCCCAAGCACGTCCGCAGCGGTAGCCTGTGTTGCCGTAGCTGGTCGGGCTGTTCCGCGACGGACAGCGGCGGCATCGCCATCTCTTTCTTGTCCGGCAGTAGATGATACTCGGTGGACAGGCGCAGCAGCTCCGGGATCGTGGGGTCGTTGGTTGGTAGGGCGTTATCAATGGCTCCCTCGGTGGTTGGGAGAAAGTGGTCCCAGATTTGCATCCAAAACTGTCTATCGACGCTCGCAGGCCGCGAGGCCAGAGGGCGTGGATCGGATTCGTCGGCCCCGGGCTTTCCCATTTGTTCGGTGATCATTCGGTGGAGCGTGCGCTCCAGATGAGTGGCCATTTTTGAAGAATGCGATGGCAAAGGGGACGAGACAGCGATGCCTTTCCAGGATTGACCCAACTTGCTGAACTGTCCCTTGCTCCAAGCATATGCATTGTGCGCATCCTTGCTTGCTATGGTCAAGGTAAAAAGGCCGACAAATTCCCGCGCCTCACCCTCGGACTCGCGGAAAACGAAATAGGGAAGGGATTGGTGGTGTGGCCATATATCCGGGGACAATGTTTTGATGGCCGTCTGGGTGTCGATACAAGTCTGTAGCTGCGCCTGGAACGACTCAGCGGTGTAGTGTTCGCTTGGGCTGCTTTGAAAAATGTAACAACCAAGCGAGGTTCCTGACGGCAGGTCAAGGGCCTCGTATACATCCCGGAGGCCATTATCGGTGCTGCAAGTGAACGGGGTACGGCCGGTGATCTCCATTTGGAGCGCAAAGCCTGCGTAGATAAAGGTTCCTATATCGCAAATGCGAGCACCAATCACATCCATCTCGTACCCCTTGCTAGTTACCAGGAAGGGGATATGTGAACCGAAGGCCAAGCGTGTTTTGTCCCTGGTAAGCGAAGGCTCTCGTTTGCTGTCAGCGGACCAGTCGGGAACCCAACCAGGCAAGGCTTGCTGTCTCTCCCATCTCACCGCACGACGCAGAACAGGCAAGAGGCTATTCCGCACCGCGAGGAGGACGGCTATCCTGGCAAAAGCCTCGGCAACTGTTTCTGTGTAGTCGGCCACAAATCCAAACTTGCTCGCCAGCTGGACCAGGCCAAAGAAAGCAAACACCTTGTCTCTAGGATCACTCGCCTGGCAATGTCGGGCCTCGTCGAGAAGCTCTAGCATCTGAGACGGGCCACGAATTGCCGCTGAAGCAAAGTTGAATGCCATAGGCTGCTGCGTCTGTTTGGGAACGAGTGGCTGCGGGGTATTGAAAACCGGAAAGTCAAAACTCAGTTTTCCGTAGAACATAGAGGTATCCTCTCCGACAACATGTTGCTGGAGAGCTTTCCAGGGTATTTCTTGTTTCCCATATATGACGACGGCCTCCTTCGCGAGACCGATCTCCTGAAGGATCCAGACGCGAGTGAAGTAACGGTGGGCCAGAATGTTTCGAACCGCGTTTCTTGCAAGGTCCCACCACTGACCCCGTGCCCCATAGGCAATGCTGCGTTTATCAGATATGCGCCTTCGGGGATTAGAAGGCTCAGGGGCCGAGAAATAGTAGTATATGCCCGTATTGTCGTCTTCGCTCGCATCTCCGAGACAGATGAGTACCCGTTTGGCTCGCGAGAAGATTTCTGGCATCAATCGCACCTGGTGGCCGCGCTCGTTCATATCGTCCTGGTTGACACATACGGCGTCGATCCATAGGACCCGGGGGGCTGACATCAGTCGAACGCGTTTCAAGACGGCCTCGCAGCTGGATGTGACGGCAAGGGGCAGGTCGTTGAGAAAGATGGTACGGTTACGAGTGGCGTCGCCGTGCTCGTCGGGCCAGGTGTACGAAATGGCCTCGTACTCTAAAAGGTCATTGACATGGCAGTGGACCAGCGTGCCGTGGATCTCGTCTTCATCTTCGCACTGCGGCCATAGGAGGAGCAGTCGCAGCTCTGATTCTTGTTGCAGGGCGAGGTAGGGAAAAGCAGAGGTGTGGCCCAATGGAGAGGTAGCCGAGGAAATTATGGAGCGACAGTCCAGACAAACGGAGAGATCGCCAGCCACATAGAGCTCGGATTTTCTAGACTTGCATGAGGGGTCGGGACAAGTCGGCGGACCGAAGACATCGTGTTCTTCCCAGTCCTCGTCGGTGACCAGCTCGTCCCAGTCCTCTGCATCTTAGTTGAAGTCGCTTCCCAAGTCGGAAGACATTGTGGCGAGTGATGAAAATTTGGTGATGGAGTGATGACTGTTGGGTGATGGGAGCCTGAGGGAAAGTAGGGAGCAGGCTGTGAGGGACGCGGGCACTGCCCAGTGACACGCTGCGCCACGACTACTTTCACGTGCCAGCGCACATGTCTGTTGGCCGGGTTCTTTCAACGTCCATTTCCTTGGTCCCAATGCCTCCAAAACTCGATAAAAGCCCAGGGACCTCAATATTGAACCAACACACTACCTCGGGCCCTCGATACGCCGATTCTCAGAGCAAACTTGAAGTGTGACGGGAGTCGGCAGACTTTTCCACAACTCTTGTTGACCGGGAATCTTTCCTAGAAACATGAACAAGTGCGTTCAAAAGCGCACCTAAGCTAAGTACTTTCGTACCGTGACATGTACCTATGAAGGGATCATATGTCGGGGGCCGCAGACATTCCCGATTTCCCTCCAGTCTCCTATCGTAAACTCTGGCGCACGCGCCTCTAGGTTCTAAAACACAACTAGGAGCTATCAGGTCGAAGATTGACTACCTCCATAGGACAACCATCCAGTATAGGTGCCTCTCGAGAAGCCACCCACCACAACTCATAAGGACCGGAAACTCGTCTGTTGGGTTGTTTTCAGCGTCTCACTTGTAATCACCAAGCTACCTACTTTTTAACTAGCTAATCTGCAGGATATTCCAGTCTCGGTCACCTCTCGGCTTCCCAGCCCAGTGCACCAACTCGGGAAAAGGGACCGAAAACCTGGGTCTGGTTGGAATGAAACTCCTTGCGAAGATAACTAACTAAAACAGACAGACGATACAATTCGCACCTTTCTCAACCAGACAGTCAAACCATTTCCCTCGGCAGTATTTTGCGGACTTCAAAACGACATTAGCAGACCCGAGCTTCAGCAACCGGGGGCGTTCTTAAGCCATCGCCTGGAGTATGTCCCTGGACACGATCGGCCAGTAGAAAATAGGCCCATGCAATTGAAACATGCCAGCGATGGCGAGAACTTCACCAGGAATTCTTCCATGATCACTGCCTCACGACAGGATTGTAAGGCGTAGGTATTTGCCGGTGGTTTGAATTTCAGGGGGGCTTCCTCCTGGCTTTCATTCCAAGAATCCAGTCAATTCTTACCTCGGTCGACCTTGCCATAATACAACGCGTAGCCATTGATGAGATTTCCTCATGCTATATACTACCTTCCCAACCATTCACTCTCACGCCCATTGAACGCCACGATCTAATTATTACATGCACCTACGTTCTCGCAGGCCACGCTAATCCGCATCACGCAGCTCCCACAACCGGGCGAGAATATGCTGCCGGGCCTGATCACTGATGATTCCATTATCCAATCCCCCGTCTCTCCGTACCCTGCTCGGCTGCAGCGCGGCCCTGCGCGGTTCAAGCCCAGTCAGCAAACACACTCCGTAAGGCTACGGTCCCGGCGGCGGGCACAGAAACGGACGGCACATACCAGTGAAGAACGCGGACTTCGGACAAATGAACGTATCCAGGCCCTTCCCCTGTGCCTATGGTGCGAGTCCCTGCAACATCGGCCTCGAACTCGTTGGTCGGCGGCGGGCAACCCCTGTTTCGTAGACGTGTGGCCTGTAATTGTCGGTAAGAAAAGTAGATGGCCACAAGAGAGAGAACAGAAGTAATAATGCCGAAGACGATGACTTGGGTGGTGGTCGATTCTGGTGAAGTCCATGCGGGGGTGGATGTGGGGCCGGGACTCGCGATAGCCTCAATATGTTTAGTACATGTAGTTAAACGGTACATGTCTGGCAACTGGCATCACGGCTACAAATAGGGTAGTAAGAAAGGTGAGCAAGAGAGGGCCTTTTTGGAGCTGAGAATGATGGAAAATGGCATGTTGAGTTGAGTCTATCTCTCGTATTTGCAGCCGCAGGGGTTGACGGTGTCTTATGCATCTTGAAAGAGGTGCGCAAAGCGTGTCATTCCGAGGAGCGATGGCATGTTGGGCAACTCTGGGGAAGGCCTTGCTTCTTCGTGACACCTTTGTCGCCTCCGACCTCGAGATACCTAAGTAAAATGCTCGGCGGAAATGCGATGAATGTGCGATGGCAGGAACCGGAAATGGGACTGATACGGCAACAATCGGTGCTATTGGTTTGAGGCATTGGGTGACTTGGACAAGATTTTCGAGGCAGGTGCGATGAGTGCGATAAGTGCGATGGGTGCGATAAGTTTGGGTGTCCGCGCGAGTGCGGCGTGCGGTGCGACGTGTGCCGTTCCAGGCTGCATCGGATACGGGGGTTATTACAACTAAGTACGGGCAGTCGGATGTGGGACGGACTGTAAATGAGGCAACCACTGGAAATTGAGCCCGAAAGGTGCGATGACGGCTGGAAGGGAGCACACACCGAATATATGATTTGCTGCCCAAGCTGTGTCGGCGAACGAGGCGGCCAATGGACATGTTGTGAGGTACCGTACCGCATGGTGCGTCTTCCGAACCCCGACTTTTTCGGGAGCTGCATTAAAGAACATTTGCGATCGAATTTTTATCGCACCTTCTCTCTTAAGGAGAGACCAAACCCTCCAACATGGCCACTTCACAAACTTCTCACTGCCCATCGGTCAAACTTTTTATTTCTTCCTTCCATCTAGAAGCGCCTGAAGATGGATCAAAGAGTTGCCCAGACTCAGCACACCGACTCCAAAAGGAAGCCCCGTGGAAAACTGGACCAGACTAAGTGTGACTGTTGTCGCAGAGACAAACAAAAGGTGTGCAGTTCCTTGCTGGTCCGATCTTGTCTATCCGATCTAACGAAGTAACTCGAAAGTGTGAGCCTCGAGACCGGAAATGGCCTCAAAAATGCCGCCGATGCGAACGGAAAGGCTTCGACTGTTCTCCGAGCACGCGCAAGGGGAGGATGCCAACAAATGTGAAGCTTCTGCATAACCGGGTAGCAGCCGGTCGCGCTGCGTCAGAGGCAGAGGCAGAGGCTGAGGGTGAGGAGCGCCGGCCTAATTCGGAGCATAGTTCTGCGTCAAAACTATCGTCTGTCCTTAGCGCGGAATCAAGCCAGTTAAGTACAGCTGGAGACTGGACACTGGTCGATTTGTACGTCGAACCAGGTAATATTTAGTACTATTTGATGGCCAACCGCTAATGAAGGCACAGCACAAACGCAGTCAGCTTCTTGACCATCCTCAAACGAGCTGAAGTGAAGCTCCAGAGATGGTACTCGGAGTTGACCTTTCCATTCAACGACACCGACAGTCTCGGTAAATCTCCTGCAGCAGCACTATCTCTAATGGTTCAAACATTCAGCAGCGCTCTCCAAACACTCAGTCAAGCAACTCTTCGCCTTGTCACGGCCCGGATAACTGCTTTGTCGCCATATAGAGACCAGCCGGCTGCCCGAGAGGCGTCATATTTACGGATTCTTACTTGCGAAATTCTCGAAAGCCCATACGTTTGTCAATATAACAAGAACGACGCTCCATTACAGACCGCCGACGATGAGACCATCGACACGACAATACGGGGCATGGTCTCCAGCGACGAGATAGGGCCTGCTCTGTTGTTGGCGGGCAAATACCTTGGGAAGAACAGGCATCAAGTACGCGATCTCCAAGCAGATTTACACAGGTATTTGTCACTCCGTGACCAGTTCCGTCCTATTGTCAAACGACTTTGGGTCCACCTAGAAGCGACCGTTTGCGACGAACTGGAGAGGATGTTGATAAGCATGGTTGTCAACAATCCTATCGTTTTTGTTTTCGACAGCCCTCACTTGCTGAGAAAGCTGGCCGACATGGAAGGATTCTGGCGCGTCCAGGATTGTCTTGGATCTTCTGTCCTCCACATCCTCCTCGAGGGACTGGGCCCGCGTATGACCTGGCATAGCGCCGTGTTCCCCATAGGCGTCGCCTTGGAGCATGGTCAAGACACGGTTCTCTTTTCCCCGGGTGAGTGGCCGCAACTCGTCAGAAAGATCGCGCTCCATTGCCGACAACATAACCCAAACGACATTTGCGGCCGATCAGCGATCCATATCGCTAGGAAATACGGCGTACCAGAAGTAGCCGAAGATTTCCTACGTGCTGAGATGCACCCAGGGGTTGATGGATGGATGGAATTTATTTCGCCCGGAGGCACTGGGCCTATAGGGCCTTAGCACGCTAACTACATTCGGATCAAATCGGTTTGCCTTTAACTCGTACAAGCCCCCTACTTCTTCCCTCTTTCTCGCTGCACCATTTACCTCTTGCCTTGGTTGTTGTTAGCAGATCAACTTGGAGGCTACTTTCTCCAAGTGTTCAGCGTCCTATCTTCAGCAGCTAAAGCGGGACCTGCTGGTTAAGGCTCGTGGTTGAGGCTCGTGGTGTTGAGTGTCGGCTTCTTCTACTGTGACTGGTCTAGACTCTCCTCCTCATTCAGCTCCAGCCTTCCTGTTGCCATTGCGTATTTGATCGTCGCCCGGACTGCCTTCATATCTGGTGACCAATGCCTTGTATCTGATGGCGCTTTCCCTCCCAGATAGAACGAGAGGCTTCCTCGTCTTGCCACTGTGCATTGCAGCATGTCTTCCCTCAGAGCTGTCCATCTCACGCATCGGAAAAGAAAGTGTTCCACTGATTCCCTCGCTTGTCCACAGGCACAAAGGTCTGACTCGACCGCCCCAATCCTGCTCAAAAAACCGTTCAGTCTCGCCATTCCGGTTCGGAGCTGCGCCAATACGCAGGCCTCCCTTCGCTTCAGCTTGTCATAGAGATGGCGCGTGTGCTTGCCTGGTAGTGCTGCGTCCATGGCCTTTGAGAACTTGCCCACGCTTACAGGTAGAACTCTTGTCGCCCGTTGTCTTTCCATTGCCAGCCTCATCGCGGTAGACTTGGCCTGGGGTATTTGGGAGTCGGGTGTGCGTCCTTGCTTCGACGCTCTCTGGGCTGCTGCCTTGGCATCTGACCCCAGTGCGAAGTCAATCTCCGCTGGTATCCACAGAAAGTTGACCGAGTTCCCTCTTTGTCGGTGCAGCCTGGCCAAGTCGTAGATTTGCCGTATGATGCTTTGGCCGGATTGCTGCCGCGGCTGTCCAACTGCTGCCAGCGCTGACTGGTTCCTCGTGATCACGGTGATGTGCCTGTGGCAGATGCTAGCCGGTAACTTCTCCAGGGCCATTGCGATGGCTGCTAGCTCTGCTGTATATGGGTTCTGCTCTTCCCTTGTCCCAAGAACAACAGCATAGTTTGTCACAGTCTCGCTAGTTCTGTTGAAGAGAATATCCCGTGCAAGGCCGCCCATGCCAACAATGCCCTTCTTTACGGATGAGCTGGTTGCGATCACGATTCCCGAAATTTTGTTGACCATATAAACCGCCTTCCCTCGATCGGCTTCGAGCGTCGGTCGTAGGCGAGGTACCCAGGGCGGGACGGCGTATTCCTGGATTGTCTCCATCCGGTCAACTCGTACTCCTTCGGCCACGCGGGCAATTTTCTGCAGCGGAGATACGAATCGTACGGTGGTCCGGACTTTCTTCATGGCAAGGGGATGCGTTCCGGGCAGCGTGTGGATGTTGATCCACAGACTGGCTGCCGCCTGGGCGTGTCGTTCTCGTACGGGGTAGATGCTCGCTTCAGCTTCCACCACGGCTGTGGTTCGAAAGAGGGGGGAAGGGTTCCGTTGTTGAACGGGAGCCTCCGGTTAGTAAGTGCTGCGCTCTCCTAATTTGGAGAATCAACACCGTGCCCGAAGGCTTCGTCACGTAGACAACCATTGAACTGGGGCGCGGACCTCCGTGTCAGGTGACCAGAAGACCAGGGGACCAGGAATTTTGATTTTCCGCTTTTCCGTTACGTTCTTCCGCCTCCTTCGGGGGGGCGTCCTTGTATTTAGTCAGAGGCTTCGGCCCTCTCAGGAGTTAGGGGGGGGCAGACGGGCAATTCTATTCTTTCTCTACACTTGCAGAAGTGACTCCTTTTCGCGGTCACTGTGACCGCGACCCACTGGCCAGAGGGCCACGCGCGTAGGCGTATCGATACCGCGATCGTAGGATCCTGTTGGATTTGGAAGGCGGTGAGGAGGGGCAATTCAGGGGTTCACTAGTGGCTGGGCATTAGTATTTTCAGGATCAGGGCGAGGCCCGCGGCAGTGGGAAGAGGACAGAGACACAGAGACACAGACATCATCATCAATGAACTGGTTGCCCCTCTTTCATCACCTTTTGGCACCCAAATCACCTTATTTCAGTCATTTCGTAGCTGTTGGCTTTCCAACAGCAGCTCTGGAGAATTTTATTTTATGTATAATTATCCTCCAGCTCGCTTTCTCTTCTCTATTCTTTAAGATAACGTACCTAGTTTTACTATTTCCATGTCCTCATTGCAAAGCCTTTTATGAAGTAATAAGCCCAGTGTACTTCTCATTCCCACCAACTATAACGAATACAGATACGGCACAGTAGCCTTATATGCTTGTGTACTGTACGTGGACCGTGCAAGCATTAAGCGAGGATGTCCTCGGACATGCCGGGGCGCGGTGGAGCGCCACTGGAAGAAGACGCGACGGCCCGTCAAGATCAGGCAGCGCTTGGACAAAAGTCGTTCCCAGAACGCCCATGCGCGCTTGTCCCATCGAGAGGCTTTGATGCTCGCCTTAGGGGACGGGTGGACGCCGCCGGGGGATGTCCAACGCGCTGCAGCCTGGCCCTCCCACTTCGTCCCGCCTCGATACATGTCTGGTACTCACCACATTAAACACCCATGTGGATGAGGTAGATAATTGTTGTTTCCAGATTAGGTCAATCCCAAGTCTCCTAATCTTTGAAGGCGCCATCGTCATTTTTCCAACTTACCGTTGACTCGAAGATGGGAGAGAACTGGAATTCGGACACGACGGGACTTTTACTCTGTTCTACACGGCATCAATCCCACGACTGCACGGCTCGCGAGGAGAGTCCTCGACTGGCTGATGGACTCGGGGAAGCTGCTCGATGTACAACTTAGCCAGGAGGCTCGAGCTGGAAGCGACAGCCTGAAGCGCCCCCGTTCGGAGGCCAGGAGGCCTTCCTCTCTTTGTATACGCAGACTCACCAGAACGCATCGTTCCTTGTTGGTATGGGTTTTTTCACCCGGCCC